TACAGACAAGTAGTACTGGCCAAACTAGTCACACTGACTTACCAGGGTGTAGTCTAACAAAATTACGCCCTGAATTTGTATAGAAAACAAAACAGCCAAACACAGCATCTATGCCTCTTCAATTACGAAAAAAATTAAAATTCTTATCTGCAAGTATCCAGCAGTAATTTGGTATGAAGTCCAATACCAAACAAACTACAAAATTTATGTGTAAAAGCCATTCCACGTCACAAATCAATTTTCTGCCTTATTCATAAATGAAAATATAGATAGCACAAGCAAGTTGGGAAGTGGTAGCGCGAAGCTTCAACTTTATGATGTCTTTGCACGTGTTTAAATCTATACCTTTGACATGATTTTGTTTGCTTTCTGTAAACAGAGTCCTACCTACCTTTCTAAACCATTGGAAAAAACTAATTGCAAGCTATGGAGGCTGGATGAGGATTTGAGACCAGTTTTGTAACAGACACAACAGTTATGTTTGGAATATTAAACTCGGAAGGAAAACAATCATCCTCTATTGTTGTCTGGAAACTGCCTACCCACCATTTGAAGCCCAGCTACTTATCTCACAATCTGCCTCTTCCTGTGTTACCCTCCTCCCCGTATTTCTTTTCTTCCCTTTCAATTTTTGCCTCATACCTTGTTCATTAATTTGTGGAGGAGAGGGGAAACTGCACCTATTATAGCCAAGAGACGTGTATGACTTTTCACATCTAGTTCTTCTTAAATGTCAGTTTAGGATCCCGAATGCATCTCTTTATTTTTTTTTTTTTTAAGTTGTACCCCTCCCCCTGAACTACTCATTACGACAGCCTCTTGTTCACCTCCAGTTTTGTAATGATCTTTACTCCTGAGGCCAGTAAAAGACCATCCCTTACAGATCTCCTTATTAACAGCTCCGAAAATACAAATGTGCATCCTACCCACAACAGCAGAGTTCTGCCCCAAAACCCAACAAAACTTATTTCCAAACATATGTGCTATCAAGCCATTATTACACGTTTCTGTCTTTTTTTGGGAGGGCGAGGGGAGCGGTAGCCCTCCCTCCAATGCACCATGTCTTTCTTCTATTCTTTTTCCGCAAATACTACATTTTTAACTGGACAGAGCCCATTCTGTGCTACTGCTTTATAACTTGTCACTACTCCTAGAGAAAGCGCTTTGGAAGAGAAGCCAGCAGCTCATCTTAGACTACAAGAAGTGAAATAAACCTCCTTGTTTCCCCCCACCCCAACAGCTGCCTTCTAACCCTGCAGAACACCCCAGACATCCTGTATCCTCTCGGGGAGGGGGGCACAAGAACACTCCGAAACACCGAAATCTGTTCGCGTGCTCCCACATCGATTAAGTGCAGTACTCGGTACGGGGCACAAGGCTGGCTCCACCACCACCGCCTTGAGACATGAAGTCGCAGCAGTGCGCGCCTCTAAAGCAGGGGCGGGCACACAAGGAACAGCCGGGGGGGACCGACCCAGCCCTCGCCACGCTCAAACACCGGTTTTCCGGCGAGAAGCGCC